AGTTTAAGCCACTGGGTCCGGGACTTGAATCGTGGTCGACTACATGAGAGTTCAGCGACATAGCCATTATGCTAACTGCTGGTCACCCAATTTTTTTTTGAGAGAGAGATTTTTGCTATAGGGCATGTGTGCTTGCTGGAGAGACAGAGATAGAGAGACAGAAAGCGAGAAATCATCCCCTGGAGGGACAGCCTCACCGCAGTCCCTTCTCAATTCTCCTCTAGGGATTTTTGAGCACGCATGCACAAAGGACCCTGCATGATTTGTTTTTCTTTTTGAGAAGTTTTTGCTATAGGGTACATGCACTCACCAGAAAGACAGAGAGAGATAGATAGACAGAAAGCGAGAAATCACCCCGCAGGGGGGATGGCCACGCTGCAATCCTTTCTCCATTCTCATCTCGGGATCTTGGGCACACATACACACGCGCCCAGCATGAGTCAAAGCCACTGGGTCCAGGACTCGAACCATGGTCGACTACATGGGGGTCCAGCGACATAGCCATTATGCCAACTGTTGGTCCCTTGTTTTCGTTTTTTGAGAGATTTTTGCTATAGGGCACATGCGCTCATCAGAGAGACAGAAAGTGAGAAATCATACCAAGGGGATGGCCATGCCGCAGTCCCTTCACCTCCATTTTCCTCTTGGGATCTTGGGCACACACGCACACGTGCTTAGTGTGAATTTTAAGCTGCCAGGCCTAGGACTCAAACTGCAGTTGGCTGTGTGATAGTCCAGCACCATAGCTACCATGCCACCTGCTGACCCACAGGGCTGCTTTTAGCTCAGGATACATAACAGCAATTTGAATCACTGTACTCACCCGTGCTCCCGTCCTCCACTCTCCCATGCGCAGTGACTGCTAGGTATGAACTGCTGTCTCTTCTTTTTCTTTCTTTCTTTCTTTCTTTCTTTCTTTCTTTCTTTCTTTCTTTCTTTCTTTCTTTCTTTCTTTCTTTTTTGTTGTTGTTTTGTTAGAATTATTGTATTTAACTTTATTTGTTTATTTAAATTTGACCAGAGGGACAGAGAGAAAGTGGGAAAGCAAGCTGACAGGTCTGAGACTCGAACTGCACTTGGCTGTGTGGGAGTCTAGTGCTTTAACCACCATGCCAGCTGCTAGCATCTGCCTTTGGAAATTCTACTCATCCCTCCAGACCCGGCTCCTGCGTTGTTCCCCTTTGTCAGCACCCCAGCCCAGCAGCTCTGCTCACTGCTTTTCCTGTTCAGGATAATTTACTCTGGCACTCAATGACATAATTTCTGGTGTTGCTAATGCACGTGGTCATGTTTCTCTCCTGTTGGACTGACGGGTCCACTTAGGGTCAGGGCTGCCATCTAGCTCTTTGGGTCCCCCTGGCATCCACCCAGTGTGGCACCCAGCCTGGGGAGTAAAGGGTCACTGAGAGTTGCACCATCCCCAGAGGCACTCGGGCTTTGCTTGCTGAGCCTGTAGAGGCAGGACAACAGAAAAGAGGCTTCCGGGTAGGTTCAGTCCCCACAGGGCCAGAGGCCCTCCCTAAGGAATGCATGCCCAATACCTACTGCTCCTTGACCCGATAGGACATCAGACATGGACATCGGGGGTTTAGCCCCGTCCAAGCCTGCCCTAACCATTTCCTGTGCTGATGACTAATGACCTAGAGCCCAAGGCGTCTGGTTACCTTCAGATTGAGCAATGTGGGTTTAAACACACATCTGTCTACACCCACACACATCTGTCTTCCTATGCAAAGCAGCCCTCCAGCAATAAACAGCCTTGGATTGTAACAAGGTCTGGGGAAAGGCCACAGGCAGAGGTGGGGCTTTACAAACCCCAGCCAGAACAGCTGCCCTAGAGAGAAATAGAAAGAGGGGGTCTGGGCAAAGGGGATCCAGGAGTGTGTCTACTGTTGGCGTGTCAGAAAAGTCATGTGTGTTTTTGTATAGAGAAGTATGTTATGACTTTTCCGAAAGCCCAATATTTTGGCAACTTTTCTGTAAGTCTGAAATGACGTCCAAGTTTTTAAAAAATATACTATAAAGCAGAAATAGCAGTAAAATCACCTGGTCGATGCAGCCTCTCGGCCTCTCAACACATTTATACACACGTTACAGTGGGGATACAGCTATTTCCTCTAGCAGACGAGAAGTAAAAAATGGAAAATGAAGTTACTTCAGAGTCAGCGACCTTTTACATACTTTATTCTATAAAAAAGTAATAATATTTTAAAATATTAAATTAGAATATTAATATTGGAGTAGAGAGGATTGAATATTTTGTGACCCAGGGCAAGATATTTAGCCCTCTCTAAGTTAGTTTCCTCATCTTAAAATGAAAGCAAGAGTGACTCTCCCTGAGTACTGCCATAAGAATTTTTTTTAAAAAAATAAATTTTTAAAAAAAAAATAAAGATAATTAATATGATTCCCAGTCCACAGCTGGTGTCCATGGCATGTTAGCTCCAAATTAAAAAAATAAATAAATAAAAATAAAACTTTAAAATTTTTTCTTTCTTTCTTTCATGAGCAAGAGAGACACAGTGACAGCACCAAATAGGGTCTTGATACCAAGATTTGGCTCCACCTCAGCCAGCCCTGGGTCACAGACAGACAGACATGGGCCCTGGGAGGCCAGGGAGTCTCCGGACTAGGACCTAGAACCTTCCATGTGGGTCTGCCTTGGAGAGCTGGGTGACTTTTTAATTTCATTTTAATTTATTACTTTATTTTAAGGCTTTTGTCATAGGGTGCAGAGAGAGACTGGGAGGGAAAGTGAGAAGTCAATCTCTGGGGGGATGGCCACGTTGCAATCCCTTTTCCTCCATTCCCCTCCTAGGATTTTGGGCCTGCACCCACATGCACTGGCGTGAATTTCAAGCCTCCAAGTCCAGGACTTGAACCTCGATGTGTCATGTGGGAGTCTAGCACCTTAGCCACCACGCCACCTGCTGGTAATGGGGGTGGGTGGTGGGGGTGGGTGGTTTGTATTTTAACATTTTCAAATTTCTTGCTTTTTCTTTTGTTAGAAGGCACTTGAACAGGAAGACAGCCGCCCTCTCTGGTGGTCGAACACTCGTCCTTCCTGTCCCCTTTCTCCACCTGGTCAGACCATGCAGACGGAGGGCCATGGCTTGGTTTGCAAAGCACTGCTGGGATTCCAGCCCGGGTGAGCCACGGGGATCCAGTTCCCTCCTCCCCCCCAACACATCCCTGGTGGGCTGGGCGTTTCATCTTGTACCACTGACCTTCCCATCCCTGAAATTCCCTTCTCTCTTTTCTTTGGGCTCTCCAGAGACAGAGAGAGAGAGAGGAGAAAGCACTTCCCCTTGGGCATGGTCACACCACAATCCTCTCTTCATATCCTCCTGCTTTTGGAATTTTGGGCGAATGCACCCCAGGGTGTTTCTCAGCCTGGTGGGTCAGAGCCTGCTGGAATGTTTCTTTTAATGCAAATTACCAAGTTCTAGTCACTTTTTGTGCCTTCTATTCGAGAGAGGAGCACCTGGCAAGGAGTGGAAGCCGCATAAACAGCAGCTGGAGTGAGGGAGGAAGCAATTCTGCAAGTCTACCAAAGCAATTCACCACTAAACCCAAATCCGAAAACCAGTCCCCAAATCCGAAAACCAGACCCCGTTTTTGCCAGACCTTCCGAGTGACTTTGCGAGGGTCCTACAACCTCTCTAAGCTTCTGCCTTCCTATCTGTGAGATGGGGCTGCTGTTACCGCCACCAGGAAGGACAAGCTGACTGGAGGTAGGATTCCTGGAGAGAGGGATGGGAATCGCTGCCCTCTCCCCACCCCCACCCCCCAGCCGTGGCCTCCTCACCCTGGAGGGCTCCAGACTCAGAGTCCCAAGAGGATGGAGACAACGGGGGAGAAAGGATTGGCAGTGTGACCACGGGGGAGGGGGCCTTCTCGCCCTCGCCCTCTCTGCCAAGCCCAAGTGCCCTCTAGCAAAAAAAACCTCCCCAGCAGCAGCTGGCTTCTCGGCGACCCTCCGCCGCTGTGCCGGGAGGGGGTCGCCCTCCGGGGACGTGAGATGGGCCCGGGGTTCGGTGAGGGTCCGGGTTTCTGAGCTACCCGAACACAAGCGCAGGGCTGGACCTGGGCGCGGGTCCCGCCGGTGCGGAGCAGCCAACCCTGAGGACTTGGCTCCGCCGCCCCGTCGGGCCGGCCCGGGCGCGCTGCGGCCTCCTCCTGCGTAGGGGTTGCCGTGCGCTCTCCTCCTGGCCAAAAGGCGTTGGGGTCTTTGGGCCAGGCCCGCAGGCTCTCGGCGGCCCCGAGCTTCCGAACCCGCCGGGTCTCGCCGAGCTCTGGACAGCCCCGCGGG